CTCTGGAATGGTTATCATCTCATGAAACAAGACAGTGGCCTAGCTGGAATACTCTGGCTAAGGACTTTATTGATCGATTCACCTACAATATGGAGATCGTTCCTGATCATTATTCCTTAGAAAAAATGAAGAAGAAATCAAATGAAAGTTACAGAGAATTTGCATACAGATGGAGAAATGAGGCAGCTAGAGTTCAGTTTCCTTTGTCTAAGAATGAAATTGACAAATTATTTGTGCGGGTTCAAAAGCCCAAATATTATGATAGAATTATGTTTCTCGTTGCAGCAAAGTTTCCTGATATAGTCAAAGTAGGTGAGACTATCGAAGACGGATTAAGAATCGGGAAGATTACTCGTGTTGCTGCCTCACCCGGATCCTTGGTTTTGTTGAAGAAGAAAAGAGAAGAAGTGTCTTCTATATCTTATGAGGGGAAGAAGACCCCAGGGAAATCCTCATCATGCCAAGGTCGTTCTCAACCTTCACAGAATTTGTACCCGGCTTGTTATACACAGTGTGATTACCAAAATACCCGTCCCCCAGTTATCAAAATACCCCTCCCCCTAGTTACCAAAATACACATCCCCCCAGTTATCAAAATACTCCCCCTCCTAGCTACCAAACTCCCCCTCCTATCTACCAAACTCCCCCTCCAATTTACAAGAATGCATCTCATCACTACCGAAATGTCAACCCCAGTTGTGCCAACGTTCAGACAAATTACCAAACGCGTACCCTAGTGTACCAAACCACAACTCCAATTTACCAAAATACCCCCTCGAACTACCAAGCTCCACAACTAAATTACCTAACCAACTAAGATTTCAGATATCAACCCCTCCTTCCAAACGCTCCAAATTATCGTCAAATGCCTCCTCTCAACAAGGCAATTACGATCCTCTCGTCCTAGATTTGAGAAAACGCCCACTAGAATTTTCACTCCGCACATTGAAAGCCGAATAAAGATGTTCGAACAATTAACTATGGTAGGATATATTCATCCAGTGGGGCCCAAGCCGATCGACACTAGGTCAAGATTTTACAGACCTGATCAGAGGTGAGCATATCACTCCAACGGTATTTGACATGGTACTGAGGATTGTATCAACCTAAAGCACAAGATCCAAGACCTGGAAAGGGCTGTAGTTTTATTGAGCATTAGAGAGAAGAAAGAGTTTATGATTCTGACACCCGAGAAGGCTGTTGCCTGAGTGTCAAGAGAAACTCTTGCCCGATTAAAGTTTGTGATTGAAACGGCTGCTACCCAGGGTATGACCAAATCCGGTAGGTGCTAAAACCAGAAGAGTTAGCCTAGGGGATACAGAAAAAAGATCAGCCTAAAAGGGCAATTAGTGAAGCTGAAGCAAAAGAATTCCGGAGAAAGATGCAACCAAAAGATTACTCGATTGTGAAGCATCTAGGGAAAACACCCGCTTAGATTTCTATATCGGCTTTGTTGATGAGTTCACAACTGCATAGGAAACCGTTGATGAAGGCTTTGGATAATAGTTATGTGCCTGTGGGTACTAACAGTGATAATCTTGCGGCCATGATAAACCAAGTTGTTCGAGGACACCGCATTAGTTTATGTGATGAAGAGCTACCCTTTGAAGGCAAGATGCACTAAAAGGATCTGAATGCCACCATTATGTGCCGAGACAAGGTCATAACTCATGTCTTGGTCGATGACGGATTTGGTCTCAACGTCTGCCACTTTTGACTCTCAAGCAGCTAAAATTTGACTTGGGAAAGGTTAAAAAAAACCAGGTCAAGGAGAGAGCTTTCGATGGAGTGCATAGAGACACGATAGGGGCAGTAAACTTGGGAATTCAGATGAGTCCTGCAAAGCTTAACGTGGAGTTCCAGTAGTTGGATATCAACACCAGTTACAACCTGCTTCTGGGAAAACCATCTATTCATATGGCCAGGGTTGTGCCGTCTACCTTTCACCAACTCATAAAATTTGTTTGGAAGGACCAGGAATTGGTCATTCATGGTGAGGGTAGTCACTCCAATGGGTATGCGTCGATCGTGGATGAGGTCTCCTGAGGTTGCAATTTCTACACGGTGGAGTTGGTGAATGCCACAACACCCTATGCCTTCTGTGTATAAGATGATTGTTCTTGTTATGCTCCATAGCAGTTTCAAACAAGGTTTCGGATTGGGGAAGCAGTTTCAAGGAATTGTCGAGCCTATCAAAATTCCTGCCAAAGGAGAAAAGATTGGTTTGGGGTATGTCCCCACAGATGATGAAGCAAAGATGAAGAAAAAGAGTGTTGATCAAGCATTGGCCAACTCAATTCCTCATTTGTACCAGTTTGAGTTTGAGTTTGTACTTGTTTGAGTTTTTTTTAATTCCCCTGTATTGTTTAAAAAGGTGAAATGCCCCTTAGCGATGGCCAAAGTTTGTGCTTGTTTTTCAATTTAAATGAAAGCCTCTTTTCTCGAAAATTTGTTTACTTATCTGTTTATATTTTACTTTACTAACTTTGTTTGTTTATGGTTTCAGTAATACTAATTTAAAACCTGTCAATGTCATGTCATGTCATGTCACGAGCCAAATGAACAAAATGAGGCATGTGATGATGAATGCGAAGAATATGAAGAAGAAAATATGGTACCCGAATATGTTGCTGAAGAGTTTTGCCAATTTCAGAATCACCACAAGCCGAATTTGGAAAAAACTGAGACTGTGAATCTCGGAGATGAGGAGTGTGTTAAAGAAGTAAGAATCAGTGTCTATCTGACTGAAGCTCAAAGAAGGGACCTGGTTCGTCTGCTCAGAGAATACATTGATGTATTTGCCTGGTCTTACAGGGATATTCCAGGTCTAAGTACGAACATGGTGTCTCATCAATTGCTGATCAATCCATATTTTAGTCCGGTAAAGCAGAAAACCCAGAAATTCAAGCCAAAGTTGAGTTTGAAGATTAAAGAGGAGATTACAAAGAAGATCGAGTCCCAAGTGGTGGAAGTGATGCAGTATCCGACTTGGTTAGCCAATATTGTTTCGGTTTCTAAGAAAGATAAAAAGATCAGAATTTGTGTCAACTATAGAGATCTGAACAAAGACAGCCCGAAAGATAATTTCCATTACCAAACATTCACATTGACATTCTCATTGATAACTGTGCTAAGTATGAGATGCAGTCATTTGTGGATTGTTATGCGGGTAATCACCAGATTCTGATGGATGAGAAAGATGCAGAAAAAACGGCTTTCATTACAACTTGGGATGTATATAATTATTGGGTGATACCTTTTGGTCTGAAAAATACCAGTGCTAGTTACATGAGGGCTATGATGAACATATTTCACGATATGATTCACAAGGAGATCGAGGTGCATGCAGATGATGTCATAATTAAGTCCCGCGAGAGTTCGGATCACTTGCCTCACTTTCGGAAATTCTTTGATCATCTACGCCGATACAATTTGAAATTAAATCCCGCCAAGTGTGCTTTTGGAGTGCTGGCTGGAAAATGGTTGGGATTCATAGTAAGCAGAAGAGGCATTGAGCTTGATCCTTCCAAGATAAAAACAATTCAAGAGTTGCCTCCTCCGAAGACCAAGAATGAGGTGATGAGTTTCCTGGGAAGGCTGAATTACATCAGCCGGTTCGTAGCTAAATCCACTGTGGTGTGTGAACCCATCTTCAAGCTGTTGAAAAAAGATTCCCTGACCAAGTGGACCGGAGAATGTCAAACTACTTTTGATGCCATCAAGACTTATTTTTCCAATCCATCGGTGTTGGTTCCTCCATGAGAAGGGAGTCCATTGTTGCTATATTTGTCTGTCTCGGATAACGCATTTGGATGTGTGTTTGGTCAACATGATGAGACTGGGAAGAAGGAGCGAGCCATTTATTACTTGAGCAAGAAATTCACTCCATATAAGGCTCGTTACACTCTTTTGGAGAGAACCTGTTGTGCTTTAACTTGGATTGCTCAGAAGTTGAGACATTATTTGTCTTCTTATACCACATACCATATTTCCAAGATGGACCCGTTGAAGTATATTTTTCAGAAGGCAATGCCGACCGGGAAGTTGGCCAAATGGAAAATGCTCTTGAGTGAGTTTGACATTGTGTATGTGACCCAGAAGGCGATAAAAGCACAAGCCTTGGCTGATCATCTTGCAGAGAATCCGGTTGATGAAGTGTATGAACCTCTCCAGACTTATTTTCTCGATGAAGACATTGCATTTGTAGGTGAAGATATTTCTGAAGCATACCGTGGTTGGAGAGTATTCTTTGATGGAGCGGCAAACCACCAAGGGAAAGGTATCGGAGCGGTCTTAGTATCAGAATCTCGTCAGTACTATCCTATTGCGGCTAAATTCCAATTTGATTGCAAAAACAACATGGCTGAGTATGAAGATTGTATCATCGGTTTGAAGATGGCAATTGATATGAACATTCATGAGTTGTTGGTTTTCAGAGATTCATATTTGTTAATTCACCACGTTCAAGGAGAATGGGCCGTTAAGAACCCAAAGATCACACCATATGGGCAGTATATACAGAAGTTGAGTAGGAAATTTCATAATATTGAATTCAGGCATACCCCCAGGACACAAAATGAGTTGACCGATGCTCTTGCCACCATCACATCAATGATTAAACATCCAGATACAAGTGATATTGATCCAGTGGATATAGTGGTAAAAGAGAAGCCTATCCATTGTTCACATGTTGAAGCAGAACCAGATGGTTTGCCTTGGTATTTTGATATAAAGAAGTATTTGGAGACCGGGACTTATCCTGAGAATGCAAAGTTCAACCAGAAGAAGTTGATACGTCGTATGACCCTCAATTTCGTTGCGAGTTGGGAAATCCTTTATAGGAGGACTCCAGATTTAGGTCTTCTCAGATGTGTTGATATTAGTGAAGCTGCAAAGCTTCTGCAACAAATACATGCCGGAGTTTGTGGTACTCACATTAATGGGCTCACTTTGGCGAGGAAGATCCTTCGAGCCAGTCTATTTTTGGATGACTATGGAACATGATTGTTGCAAGTTTGTGCAGGATTGTCATAAATGTCAGGTGCATGGTGATTTGATTCGTGAGCCGCCTCACGAACTCAATGATATGAGCTCACCTTGGCTGTTTGTAGCTTGGGGCATAGATGTCATTGGTCCAATAGAGTCGGTCGCCTCTAACTGACACAGATTCATTTTGGTTGTCATTGACTACTTGACCAAGTGGGTGGAAGTAGCTTCCTACAAGTTGGTGACCAAAAAAGTTGTAGTTGATTTTGTTTGCAACAATTTGATATGTAGGTTTGGAGTACCAGAATCTATCATTACTGATAATAGAGAGAATCTCAACAGTCACTTCATGAGAGAGATATGTGAACAATTCAAGATTACCCACCGAAACTCAATCGCTTATCGTCCCCAAAAGAATGGAGTTGTAAAGGCCGCCAACAAGATTATTAAGAAGATTTTGAGGAAAATGATCGACAGTCACAGAGGTTGGCATGAGATGTTTCCTTATGCTTTATTAGGTTCCAGAACGACTGTCAGAACATCAATTGGAGGCTCTTCGTATTTGTTATTATATGGAACAGAAGCAGTTATACTTGCTGAGGTCGAAATACCCTCAGTAAGAATCATCCAAGAAGCTGAATTGACTGATGCTGAATGGGTTCGCAAGAGGATCGACCAGTTAACATTGATCGATGAGTAAAGAATGGTTGTTATTTGTCATGGTCAACTTTATCGACAGAGAATGATTCGTGGTTTCAACAAGAGAGTAAGAGCCATAATATTTGAAATTGGTCAGTTGGTTCTCAAACGCATTTTCCCTCATCAAGATGAGTACAAAAGGAAATTTGCACTAAATTTGCAAGGACCCTATATGGTTCGTAAAGTGGTATCTAGAGGTGTCTTGGTCCTGTCGGAGATGGATGGCACCGAATGGCCAAAACCAATCAACTTAGATGCTGTCAAGAGATACTATGTATGAAGTTTTAATTTATATTTCCATCATTCCCTTGTAATCGTTCTATTTGGTTATAATCGCTTTGTTTAGAATTTTATACCTCTGTAATGAACTATGTCTGACCTAAATTCTCAAGAATGAGATTCGTAGGCGGCCTATGTCGGCCTCGGTCACCCCCTTTATCCCTTTCAATATTTCATTCTGTACTTGAACTACGTTCAACCTGAATTCTCAACAATGAGATGTGTAGGCGGCCTATGTCAGCCTCAATCGGTTCCTTATTCAAATTTCATATATTTGTTAATCTCGAGGGGGGAACTACATTTGACTTGATTCCTGTCTCAACGGGAAATGTAGGCGCCACAACAGTTCGGTCATATCTCCTGTAAGATTTCTATTTCTCTTTACAATAGAAACTGAGACAACATTTTTGAGAGGGACTCAGAAATTCTCGAGAAGAAGATTTTCTCCAGCAAGTCAAGGCAAAAGTTACTTTGAGATTAATAATTTTTGAGAGAATCTAAAAAATTCCATGATTTACTAACCATCAGTTAGAGATAAGCCAAGACAGTTAACTATGATAGAAATTTTTGAGGATGACCTCAAAAATTTCTAAAGGTTCATCGGCAGTTTGGAGCAACTTCGAATACTTCCTAGCAAATAATCAGATAGCCCTAGGGACATCAACTTTAAAGATGTTCATCAAGCTTGACGTGACATGACACCTTGCAGTGACCTTTCCCAAATACTACTTTTCGAAAATCTATTTTTCTTAAAACCTTTCCTCTATGTTTCAATTATTTTGCATAAAAATATTTGTCTTATCTATCAGGAGGCGGGAGATCGGAGAAATCAACCGGAGATAGCAAAACAAGGAGTAGACAATAGAAGAGATCGACACAGATCAGTTCATTTTTAAACTAACAATTTTTCTGTGGACGCATATTTATAGGTTTACCTCAAAATCAGTATATTCCTCCATTCAATGAATATGGAGAAGCCAAAAGGGCGAAGAGCTTCCCAAAATTGACAATTTTCTATGGATGCAGGAAATATTTTATGCTGCTTATATCAAAGATTTGAGAATATGAATAACATTATTTCATTCAATTCCCAACTAGGCAAAGCCCATAATGAACGCGCAACTATGTTCAGAGATGGAATGAACGAAAACCCTAACGAAAGACATTTTACTGTTTTCCATCAACTAAAGATACTTGGAGGACATTATTTGCGTCATATTATCAGATATGATAATATTACTCCCGGAGAGTCATTTATATCGTATTCTCAAATGAGATGATACCATTACTCTGAGGGTCATTTTTATTTGTATTGTTCATTAGGACGATACCGCCACCCAGAAGATACCCAGAAGTTCACCTATGTTGCTCGGTGAAGCATTATCTTCGTTCGGTGTCAGGGAGGCATCAAGAGAAAGAAGTCATGCATAGCAAGAGAAGGAGGTCATGCATAGCAAGGGAAGGAGGTCATGCATAGCAAGAGAGCGAGGTCATGCATAGCAAGAGAAAGAGGTAATGCATAGTAAGAGAAGTAGGTCATGCATAGCAAGAGAAAGAGGTCATGCATAGCAAGAGAAGAAGGTCATGCATAGCAAGAGAAGGTGGTTATACATAGCAAGAGAAAGAGGTCATGCATAGCAAGAGGAAGGAGTCATGCATTGCAAGAGAAAAGAGTCATGCATAGCAAGAAAAAGAGGTCATGCATTGGAAGAGAAAGAGTCATGCATCGCGGGAGAAGGAAGTCATGGATCACAAGAGAAAGATTCGTATATAGCAAGAGAAAAAGTCATACATCACAAGAGAAGGATTCATGCATAGCAAGAGAAAGAGTCATGCATTGCGGGAGAAGGAAGTCATGCATCGCAAGAGAATATTCATGTATAGCAAGAGAAAAATTCATACATCGCAGGAGAAGGATTCATGCATAGCAAGAGAAGGAGTCATGCATTGCAAGAGAAGAGAGTCATGCATCGCAAGAGAAAGGAGTCATGCATCGCAAGAGAAGGGGTTATGCATTGCAAGAGAAAGATTTACCCACCACAAGAAGATCAACATTGACTACATCATTTTTGTTTGCAAGAACGACATCAAGAAAATCATCAACAACGACATCAAGAGAACTGTCAACATATTACATCAACCTATTTTATTACTTTGACATCAAAGAAAGAGTACATTGAAGATTATATTGCAAATATGACACACATGGTTTATTTTCTTTACGTCAAACCCGATGGAGTTGACGTCCAATGTTCAAAAAAGGCAATTTAGTGTCAACACGGTAAAGGACACTGTCTCCCATTTGAATTGCATTTTTTATGCTAATGAGTTTTAACTCAGTCTTTGTCGAGAGCATCTGAAAGGATGAATTCTCCAAAATAAACCACAGGTGCGAATGGCATAAAAAAGGATGCAGCACAATGTGGAATTTTTTCTTAGCAGCAAAGTGGGACATAGTCCAAAGAGTAGTACCAAACTCTTAGGACGCAAGTAGAGGAGCAACTTCCACCACAATCAAATCACACCCCTATCAGAAGGCATGTGGGTTTATCTTTGGGTTTGTCGATTTAAGTTTTGCATCCAAAATTTTTTTGTCTCTACCGGAAGCAGCTTTCCAATCTGAGTGACTATGCGCCAAGAGCTTTGGAAGTTATGTCCGTGTAAGTTCTTAATAATGGGTGTGAAGTGCACCATATTCATGGCTAAGAGATTGCAAGCCTCTTTTTTATAACTCGACTTACTTTTTCGCTTTTCCAGAACCAAAGGTTATCTTGCATAATAGATTTCCTTTTCAACCGATTGAGTCGAACTACAAGCAGGCTGATTCCCTAAGTTGAGGGATATGTAGGTAGCATCACTGTTGAAACTCGGCTGTATTCCATCATTTTCTCTTAAATCTTATTCTCGAGCATTCCGGTCCCGCCATAATTCCGTATTAGGACGGCTTTTGAATTCTTTCAAAATCGTGCGTGAAAATCAAGCGTATCGAACTACAAGCGGCCTAAATTCTCATATAGCATGAGATATGTAAGAAACCCATTTTTCAGGGTTCGGCCACAATTCCTAAAGTTGGTACCGAACTGCATTTTTTCAAAAAATGATGACGTGGTCGGTCAAAATTGGATTAGTCAATTTCAATTTCCTCAAATTCTTGCACCAATCCGAGTAAATTGAGGGACAATTGTTGACACCCAATTTTGGCCTTCCCCGATAATATCTAGTTTCCGAGCTTCTTATTTTTCAAAGGATTTAGTATAATTAGCTATATAAAATTCAAAGTTTTTTTAAGTGATTTTAGTCGAGTTTTATAATTTTTAAATAGTAACATATTTCATATAATTTTGCATGTAATTAGTACATTTTATCATTATTTGAAAATCGTCTCAAAAGATTTTGTTTAATTAGATATTTGGTTAATTTGTATAATTACTTAATAGTATATAATTCTGAGTTAATTAGTTTGTAGTAAAATTTTATTTTTATAATGAAATTACTTATTTTATTTCGTTAAAGTTAAGATTCTCATTAATTAATTATATTAATTCGTCCTATTTAAGTTTTAACCAAATTCACTAGTGAAATTCAGTTTGGGTAAATCAATAATTCATTTAAATATTAAAGAACCAAATTATGGGCCTTTATAAATCATTTTTCAGCAGCCCACTCTTTTGTTCTCAATTCCCAGTCTACTCCCTAAATCCCCTTTAATTTCTAGTAGCCCAAACTCTCCAATCCCCAACCCAGTACAATTAAATATCGACCGATCCCACTCTCATTTACCCAACCCGGCCCAAATACAATTCCTCCAAGACCCAGAAGATTTCCAGAAGCAACAACTCACAAACAACAGAGCAACGTTCACAAACGTTGGCCAGCGTGAACACGACGTCAATCGCGACTGCTCCAAACGACCTCAACGCAGCAACCAAACGATGTTAGCTCTTCAAATGGTTCCAAACGGCGTCAAATAGACAGAAAGCAGTAGTTGTTCACGCGTCTTCTTCAGCCTAGTACTGTTTCTCGTATGACTCTCTACAATTCCAGCAAGCCACGTCTCTTCTTTGGGGCTGTGATATCGCTCAACGTCGCACCCCAAGGACGATCGAATTGATCGAGTCCGTCCATCGTCCCATTTCCTCTTCCAAAATGAGTTGAATTCTTTGAAAAATGTTTGTTCCCCAAAAATGGCGAAAGAAGTTTTTGGATTTTGAAATTCGGAATGGGCCCTTGAATTTATTTTTCATCCCTTTCCCCCCATTTCTGAACCGTAATTTCCCTTCTATATATGTTTCTTTTTATTCACTGTTGAAGGAGGGAGAAAAAATATTAGAAAAAAAATATTGGGAGGAATTAGTTCGAATTTGAGAAAAGCACAGTGAAATATTAGCTATACATATTCATATATAAACATTCAGCAAATAGGCTTTCAAAGTCATAGAAAGTTGGAGCAAAATTTTGGGTCTCGTTTGAGTTTTGCTCTGTTCATCCAAGTTCTGCAATCGCACTTTAGTGGTGTCGGAAGAAGCTTGTCCCTGCTCGTTTCTTGTCCCAAATCGCTGCTCTCCTAAAGGTAAATTTCTTCTAATTCTGACTCGTTTTAGATGATGTTTTATTCTGTGACCTGAAGTGAGTTGTTGATTCTTCCTTTCCCTTTCTGGAATTTATTTGACTGATTCTGGGTGTGCTGTAATGTCTAATCATCATGGTTTGATGTCTTAGCTGGCGTTTTCTTTTTAATCTGAAGATAAGAAAGATTGGCTAAGAGTTTGAACTTCCTTACTGTTGATTTGTCGTTATTATATTTCGGGGAGGTTGGCTGAATCTTCATTTCATTTTTTTAAACATGTTTGATGTTTGATGTTTACTTGGTCTCGAGTATGAACGTTTTAGCTGTACAAACATGTTCTCTTCGTTTTACTGATGTTTAGTCATCTCCCTAGTCATTTTGATTTGAATTAATCTTCGCGTATATTCTAAGCATGATCTCGTGGAGTCTATCTT